TGGGATTTGTGCATGACCATTATTATTATTATTATTATTATTATTATTATTATTATTATTATTATTTTGACTAAGTGATGAAATCTAGAATAAGCTTGAAAATCAAAAAGACATTCAAATATAGTTTATCTTGAAAAACTAAGTATATTCATTAGGAAAATCAAGAGGCACAAGAAGATTATCATAAATATATATGAATGTAATTGCTTATGAAAGATAGAAGAGTTTGAATAAAAATTATATTTGTCTGGAGTTTGATACTCGTATATCTTTTCGTTTACGCTTCTGTCTGCATCAGTTATCAATTTGTGTTTATATTGGTTGACCTATTGTAGACTTAATTTCGAGGCTCGAGTATCCTCGACAGCTAAATTTAAGTAAAATTCGATTTTCCCAAATTTTTTGGGTTTACGTTCAACCTACAAATTTGTGGTGCTTAACTTGTATCGTGTTTATTCGCTTGAATATCCTTTAATATGTGGCATTCGGGAGACATCTTTTTAACCTTCTGCAACGAAATACAAATGCTAGTTCAAATGCTATAGTTGGGCAGTGCATGATTCTTATTAGCAACATTAGTACCAAGTAAGTTTTCTTAATGAGATGTGTTTATATATATATATATATACACATATGTAGTTACAAGAAGAAAAATAAAATTAAAAAAAAAAAATCATGCCTAAATTTGGTTATTTTAAGGATGGAGAAACTTTGATAAGTTCATGGTCTCCTATTTTTTTTTAAATGTCATTTTGACTTTATCCACTATTAACTAAATAAATATCGTTTTGAATCTTTTGTACATATTTTTTTATTATTATCCTCATTTAGCTAATAAATACATTACGTCTTTTCATATTTATTTTTCATATTTTTTCTCAAAACATTAATCTCTATCTTCATTCAATAAAGTTATTATTACTGACAAAAAAATATTTTTAATTAATGTGAAACTTCTCAAAATGACATATATTATAAATAGGATGTAATATTTCACATATAAGGAAGACTTTGTTGTGGAAGGAGACTCAATTTCAACAAAGTAGTACCAAAGTTGATTGCTTGGTTTACTTGCACTATAATTTGTTATGCGCCAACCTATTTTTTTTAGTAGCCAGCCACGATTCTGGAGCTATATTCCGACTAATTTGTTGGTTGACTCAGATCGCACATCTGACAGTAGTGGATGAGTCTTCCAACAAGAATTTTTTGCATTTACAAGGATTCAAACCCGAGACCTTGCTTAAGCGACATCAAACTGCTTACCACTTGAGTCAAATCATGTTGGGTGACCTACTTTTAACATCATTTTATTTATTCCCATGCTCTATCAATTAGAGCTGACCCCACACTGACTCTGCCGCGGTGCCGCCCAACTCCAACTTCTTGTCCTTTCCCTACCGCACTTGATATAATCACCCACACATACCTCGTTTTCCACCCAAAACGCCAGCTTTTGCCACCGTCGTCCTCCGCCGTTAGCCATGGCCAAACAAGTACAAACCGACCTCTCTCCCGTTCTCAAGCTCTACACCGACGGCACGGTCGAGCGTCTCTTCGGCTCTGCCCACGTCCCGCCATCACTGGAGGACGCCTCCACCGGCGTCTCCTCCAAGGACACCGTCATTTCTCCGGAGGTTTCCGCCAGAATCTACCTCCCGAGGATCGCCGACGGCCGCCGGAAGATCCCGATCTTGGTGTACTACCACGGGGGCGGATTCTGTGTGGAGTCCGCCTTCTCCTTTCTCGTCCACCGCTACATCAACCTTGTGACCGCCGCCGCCGGAGCACTGGTGGTCTCCGTCGAGTACCGCCTGGCCCCCGAGCACCCCTTGCCGGCGGCGTTCAATGACTCGTGGGAAGCCCTAATATGGCTATGCTCGCACGGGTAAAAAAAACAAAAGATTGTGCTTTAATTTTGATGTTCCGGGTTCCGTTACAGTATCATTCTGTCGAGTATTTTTACAGTTGGATAGTCTATCTATCTTATCTAATTATATATAGATCCAACGGAAGCATTTCCTTTAATTTTAATTTAGGAGAATGCACCTAAAACTCGGATTTTTTCATTTTCGTTTTTTCATCGAGAAGATTTCAATAATTCAAAAGGCTAATTGGGTAAATATGCATTTTAAATAGTTATATTTTATTTCTGGTTTATAGTGATGAAAATACCCATTTCGAAAAGGACGAGTGGATCACCGACCACGGGGACCTCAACCAGATCTTCGTCGGCGGCGACAGTGCCGGCGGGACCATAGCCCACAACATCGCCCTGCGCGCCGGGTCGGATCCCCTTCCCGGAAACACCAAAATCGCCGGCGCAATCCTTTCGCACCCGTATTTCTTGGGATCCGACCCGATTGGAAACGAACCAAAAGAGGGCATGGACCAGACCTTACTCTACAGGCTGTGGGTATTCGCGCACCCGACGGCCGCCGGAGGGATCGACGACCCGCTGATCAACCCACTTTCCGACCCGGCGCTATCCGGGCTGGGATGCTCCAAACTGATGGTCTGCCTGTCGGAGAAGGACCAGCTCACGGCGAGAGGTTTGGCCTACGCGGAGAAGGTGAAGGAGAGCGGGTGGAAAGGTGAAATTGAGGTGGTGGTGGTTGACGGCGAAGACCATTGCTTTCAGATTTTCGATCCGGAAACTGAGAAGGCCAAGGATCTGATCTGCCGCATCGCAAATTTCATTTTAGGGAGTGGGAATTAGGGTTCCGATTTGGAGGAATAATAAATTGAAATGCTCCACCATTTAGTTGGTTCCTGTTTTGAGTTGGGCTGGGACAGCATTTGTTTTATGATAATTAATGGGTAACAATTTCACTAGTGGTACCACTGGACATATTTCAAATTTAGTGTCTTATTTTTTTTATATTTTTTTTTTGAAACGATAGAGTTCATTAATAAAAATGTATACTTACAATCGGCTTACTTGCCAGAACAGGAAGGCCTATGGGAGAAAGACAACCAAAAAAGGAAGAAAAACGCAAACTCACAACACAACACAAACAAAAAAAACAAAACACAAAAAACTCAACTGAATTCCTTCCCACATCAGCTGAGCCCACACGAACAAACCCACACGAGTGACCACCAAGAAGGACAGAGACCCGATCCAAGCCGCAAAGCAAGAAACTGCAAATAAATTGCCTAACTAAAACAGAGACAAAAGACCTTGCCTCTCGTCTGGGTAGACAACTCGCAACCGGAGATCCAATACAAAACTTCACCTCTCAACTTCCGACGACCCGGGAACAAGGCACGGGCCCGAACCCGACCCGCCTCAGCCCACGCAACCCTATGGCTCCAAAGGCAGGGAAGATCTGGAAGAGGGAGGAGAGTGGAACCGACCCGATCTAAGCCCCTACTGCCAACAAGGGAACGATTGAAGCCACAACCCTCTCTCACACACTCGACGGACGTCCGCCACCGCTTAGACGCCGGATAGCCGACGAACCACGACCCACCTTGGCGACCGAGAAGAAGGCAAACCCAAGGGGGAATCCGCCGCCTCACCCGAAGCAAAGAACGACGCCAAATCCGACAGGCCTCTGAGAGTCAGCCGCACAATTGAGCGAAGGGAAGGCCACCGCCGAGATGACCCGAAGGCCTGCTGGGAAAAGGCGCACTACGGTTGCGGCGAATTTAGGTTTTTGAAGGGGAAAGGCGCACTACGACTCGTGTAAAAATATATTTAATTAAAATATAAATTCAAAACAAATAAGAAACAAAAAATAAAGTAGGAAAACTTGAAAGAATCGTCAAACACACACACACACATGACCTACAAGCTCGATCACGCACAGAGGAGTGACTCGAACAACACCAACAAAGATAGAGTCGGAGCACAATGGTGGCATGAGATTTACTGGTGCCACAACAACCGTTGTGCTGCCGAAAAAAAAAAAAATAAAAACGGGCTAAAAAAATAGGCGAAAATGGATTTACATGGAAACAATATAAATGATACAGATGATGGCTAAAAAATTGCATGCGGATGAGACGAATGTGAGGTTGCTCTCAATTGAGAAAGAAAAAAACACACGTGGCCGCTAATAGCATTTAAAGTTGGCAAAAATTCGAGGTCTTCGTCGAGATATATGCCGAAAATAAAATAAGCAATCACATGAGGGCTTCTGAAGACAAAGCCCACCATGACTAAGGCCTTCGGGTTGGGTGGTCGCTTGTTTCGGAAGGCCCCCCCGGGGTCGGCAAGTGCCTGAAGACAAATACCACCATGACTAAGGCCTCCGGGCTGGGTGGTCGCTTGTTTAGTACACCCCTTGGGATGGGAAGGCTGGCCCCCTGTTTCGAACATTCCTCGGATTGGGTGGGCAAGCGTGAAGACAAAAATTCACCATGACTAAGGCCTCCGGGCTGGGTGGTCGTTTGTTTCGGAAGGCCCCCCAGGGTCAGCAAGTGCCTTAAGACAAATTCCACCATGACTAAGGCCTCCGGGCTGGGTGGCAGCTTGTTTAGTACACCCCTTGAGATGGGCAGGTTGACCCCCTGTTTCGAACATTCCTCGGATTGGGTGGGAAAGTGCAAAGACATGGATAGCTCGAGCAGACCTCAGAGGCAGGTCGATGATTTCTGCTTAGTTCTATTTGGTCTGGTATTATTGTATATTTGTTCCTAACCCCAATGACAGGTTGAGGAAGTTCATTGTGGATAATTCGAGCAGTGTGAAGACAAAATCTACCATGACTAAGGCCTCCAGGCAGGGTGGTCGCTTGCTTAATACACCCTTGGGATGGGCAGGTTGACCCCCTGTTTCGAACATTCCTCAGTTTGGGTGGGCAAGTGCGAAGACACGGATAGCTCGAGCAGGTTAATGGTTTTATTTGATTTGGTTTTGTGGAATTTGTGCTTTTGACCTAAGTGGCAGGTCGATCAAACTTATTATGGATAGCTTGAGCAGGTTAATGGTTTTATTTGATTTGGTTTTATGGAATTTGCGCTTTTGACCTCAGTGGAAGGTCGATCAAGCTCATTACGGATAGCTCGAACAGGTTAATGGTTTTATTTGATTTGGTTTTGTGGAATTTGTGCTTTTGACCTCAGTGGCAGGTCGATCAAGCTCATTACGGATACCTCGAGCAGGTTAATGATATTTATTTGATTTGGTTTTGTGATATTTGTACTTTTGACCTCAGTGGAAGGTCGATCAAGCTCGTTACGAATAGCTCGAGCAGGTTAATGGTTTTGTTTGATTTGGTTTTGTGGTATTTGTGCTTTTGACCTCAGTGGCAGGTCGATCAAGCTCGCTACGAATAGCTCGAGCAGGATTTGGTTTTGTGATATTTGTGCTTTTGACCTCAGTGGCAGATCGATCAAACTCATTACGGATAGCTGGAGCAGGTTAATGATATTTATTTGATTTGGTTTTGTGGTATTTGTGCTTTTGACCTCAGTGGTAGGTCGATCAAGCTCGTTACGGATAGCTCGAGCAGGTTGATGATTTTTGCTTAGTTTGGACTTGTCGAAATTATTTTCAACCTCGGTGGCAGGTCAAGAGAGTTCATTCAGAGCAGTTCACGAAGTCAGATCGTTCGGGTTTTGAGAGGATATACAGCAGACTTGAATTTTAAATTTTGAACTGGAGGGCGATAGGATGAGGTTACCGGAAAGGCCTATCATTGAGCGGAAAGAGTTCGAACAAGGTGATTGAAAAAGTAGAAGATTTAAAAGTTCAAATTCAAGACTTTGGGAGATCGGGCATATGGTTTTCGACTGCAGCTTCGACTTAAGTTTTGGTGTTTGACTTCAATTCTCGACTTCTGACCTCATCGGTGATTACTCAGTTTTCAGTTTTTGACCTCAGCGGTCTCTCGATTTTCGGCTTTTGACCTCATCGGCGATTACTCGATTTTCAGTTTTCGACCTCAGCGGTCTCTCGATTCTCGGCTTTCGACCTCATCGGCGATTACTCGGTTTTTTATTTTTGACCTCAGTGGTCTCTCGATTCTCGGCTTTCGACCTCATCAGCGATTTCTCAATACTCGATCTTCGACCTCAGTGGTTTCTCGATTCTCAGTTTTCGACCTCAGCAGTCTCTCGATTCTCGGCTTTCGACCTCATCGGCGATTACTCGGTTTTCAGTTTTCGACCTCAGCGGTCTCTCAATTCTCGACCTCATCGGCAATTACTCGGTTTTTGGTTTTTGACCTCAGTAGTTTCTCGATTCTCGATTTTCGACCTCAGTGGTCTCTCGGTTCTTGGCTTTAGTTTTCGACCTCAGTTGTCATTCCGCTTTTGGCTTTCGGTTTTCGACCTCTGTCGAAGGTCCTTCAATTATTTATCTCAGTGGATGTGGCAGGTTGACGGAAACGGCTCGAAGAGACATTTCATTCTTGGACTAGATGATATAGGATGATATAAGATATTAGACTAGACCGGGTTAATGGATAAAACGAATACATATTGGAGGATAAACCTACGTATAGAGTAAGACATATATAACATAACGATATGAGGCAAGCTCAACTTGAGCCCAAAAGGTATAACCCCCCTATAAAAGGGGGATAAGGTATCTCATTCTTTCATTCTCTATTCATTCCATACTACACTCTCTCTCTTGATCTGAGCACTGACTTAGGCATCGGAGGCCCGACGCCGGGGCCACCCCCGGCATTGAGTTCTTGCAGGTACGGGGGCCGGTCGAGCTGAAGGAGCCTGGGCGAAATCTATTTCACTTCACATGGGGATGACATAAGTGAACCTATGTTAGGATGTTTTTTATTGTTGGTTTTTTTTATACACAAGCTTAGAGAGTGAGCTATGAATGTATTGAGTATTCTAAGAGTTTAGAAGTTCACTTCACCTTGTATTTTATAGATTTAGCCGAGATTTTAGTTTGTGTTCTTTCGGGTTGAAAGGTTGGAACTTATATTTTTTTTTGTTTCACTTACGACACTTGAGAGGAGTGTCATTTGTCTTGAAGGCGTCCGCTATAGAAATTAACTAAGTCCACAAGTTAGTCAGAATAATGGCTAGGAAAAATGAAGTGAACAATTGGATTGTAAGAGAGTTAAAGTTTGAAAATCTAAATTACGCTACGTGCATGCGGTCATTTACTAGTAAAAAGTGTTGAGGGAAAACAAGACGTTCTCTGAAGAAGTTATGTTTTAACCACTTTCACATTATTTATGTGTTTCTACATAATAAAACGCATGCGTGCACTCGCTGACATACTTCATCCTTGATAAAAGTTCCTGAAAACTGAAAAGAAGAAGAAGAAGAAGAAGAAGAAGAAGAAGAAGAAGAAGAAGAAGAAGAAGAAGAAGAAGAAGAAGAAGAAGAAGAAGAAGAAGAAGAATTAAAAAAACAAGACGAAGAGTAAAATTACAACTGAATATAACTTTGTTCACAGTAAAAAATTATTTAATTTAAATAAAAAATTAGATAGAAGATAAAAAAAATGTTCATTTGATTTCACTTTTTCTCTTCAAATCCCACTAAACACATTTAAAACAAATTATTGTTATATATTTTTTTTCAGATAAAATATAATATGTAGACACTTTATATTCTTTATTACTACTAATTTTTTAGCTATAATTATTATTTTTGTTATTACATTAGTTTGAGTCTTTTAATTTCTCTGTTTTGCATTTGCAATTTTATTTATTTATTTATTTATTTTTTTTTTTTTTTTT